GCCTAAGACAAGCACCCCACCCCACCCCACCCCCACTTTGTGTTTATGGCCTTGACTGTGCAAGAGCCTGGGCCCGGTGACCGTGGAGTGCCTACCTCCTGGCTGTCGGTTTTTCCTCCACTGGTGACTTGTGTGTTCCATGAGGCCTGCGGGGTGCACACCAGTGCTAAGCCACCTCCGATTAGGCTCGCCTTTGGGTCCAGCCTGGCTAACTGACATCAGAAGGCTGGGGTGAGAGCTAGTCTTCCACCGTTAAAGGTCAATGGTGACCATCTAGCAGTCTGAGTGACACTCTGGCCCTGGAAACACCCGGTTTCCTGCCAGCCTGCCAGGAGCTATTGCTCAAATCAATTGCTTCACTTGGGGACTGTAGGGTGCCTGATTCCTCCCCCACCTTCCGCCTCCCTTCCTCGCCCTCCTCCTCTTTTTTTTTTTTTTTTTTTTTAATAACAAGATCTCATGAAGCCCAGGCTGGCTTGGATCCCACTGGGTAACTGATCCTGCTGCCTTCAGCTCCAAGTGCTGGGATTCTAGGCATGTGCCACCATGCTCAGTTTATGTAATGCTGGGCATAGAACCCAGGGCCTCATGCATGCCAGCCAAGGAAACGTTCAACTCAGCCACAGCCAGCCCTCAGTTTTTTTAAAAAAATGAAACAAAGTTGGAAATCACTAAAAAAAGCTTTCTTTTATTTTCTTTCTTTCTTTTTTCTTCCTTCCTTCCTTCCTTCCTTCCTTCCTTCCTTCCTTCCTTCCTTCCTTCCTTCCTTCCTTTCTTTCTTTCTTTCTTTCTTTCTTTTTTTGTGACAGGGTTTCTCTGTAGCTCTGGCTGTCCTAGAACTCACTTTGTAGACAAGGCTGGCCTTGAACTCACAGAGATCCGCCTGCCTCTGCCTCCCTGAGTGCTGGGATTGAAGGCGAGCACACCACACCTGGCTGAGAAAAGCTTTTAGTACAAACTGAAGCACAGGCATTGAGAGTGAGCCTTGTAATGCTTTTCTCACTCCTGTGACAGAAGCTGCTGGAAACTGCAGAGGGCAGCAGGGTGGGTTTGGGTTCACGGTTGCCAGGGAATTCCCATTTCTCAAGGTTCGGGAAGGCATTGCCGGCTAAGCGCTCAGCCTGTGGCGGTAGGAGCTCACAGCTCGCTTGTGCATCTCTGTAAGCAGGAAGCAGAGTTCAGATGGGAAGCAGGGCCGAGCTTTACCCCTCGGGGCCTGTGTCTACTAGCTGGGCTCCAGGTCTCAAAGGTTCCACAGTCTACCAGAACAGCACCTCCTGCGGGGGGCCACGTGTTCAAACATGTGAGCTGGTCAGGGATACTTTGCACTCAAACCATTGCAAGGCTTAGGAAAAGGGCAGAGTATCATAGCCTAGAGTGGGCAGGGCTGCCCAGGAGAGAGTCCTTCTTGTTGTTAGGGCTTTTATTATTGGTTTGTTTTTGTTTTTGTTTTTTTCGAGACAGGGTTTCTCTGTGTAGCCCTGGCTGTCCTGGAACTAGCTCTATAGACCAGAATGGTCTTGAACTTAGAGATCTACCTGCCTCTGCCTCCTGAGTGCTGGGACTAAAGGCTTAAAATATATTTTAATTTAATTATTTGAGGACTGGTCTCCCTATGTGGCCATGGCTGGCCTCAGACTCACAGAGATCCTCCTGCCTCTGCCTCCCATTGCTGGGGTTAGAAGTGTGCATGTCACCGTTATTGTTTATTTTTAAAGATTTATCTTGTTATTTGTTTATGTGTGTGTGCCTGTGTGTGTTCACACGTGTATGCAGTGTTCTCAGAGTCCAGGAGGGGGCAGCAGATCTCCAGAGCTGAAGTAACGAGTGATCAATCACAGGCTGCTGCTGTGGGTTCTGGAAGGAAGCCTCCATCTTCTGGAAGGGTAGAAGGGTCTTACCAGCTGAGCTGTGTCTCCAACCTCTGCCTTTCCTATTACCCAGTCTGCCTTAAATGCATGGTCCTCCTCCCTCAGCTTCCCAAGCGCTGGAATGGCAGGAACCAACTTTCTTTTTTTTTTTTCTTTTTTGTTTTTTTCGAGACAGGGTTTCTCTGTGTAGTTTTGGTGCCTATCTTGGAACTCGCTCTATAGACCAGGCTGGCCTCGAACTCACAGAGATCCGCCTGGCTCTGCTTCCTGAGTGCTGGGATTAAAGGCATGCACCATCACTGCCCAGCTGGATCCAACTTTCTAACACCATTTATGCCCGGTACTGCCTGGCACTCTTCCAGAAAGAAAGCAATCCCCCCTCAGCTGGGCATTCTGTCTTGGAATGGCGGGGTGAGCTCTAAAATTTGTCCCCTGGCCTTCTATTTTCACAATAAGTAGCAAATGTAGTCATCACTATAGGAAGCAAATAAGCTTCCTTCATTTCTCACCCCTTTTCCTTTTATTAAAAAAAAAAAAAAAAAAAAATTGCCGGGCGGTGGTGGCGCACGCCTTTAATCCCAGCACTCGGGAGGCAGAGCCAGGCGGATCTCTGTGAGTTCGAGGCCAGCCTGGGCTACCAAGTGAGTTCCAGGACAGGCGCAAAGCTACACAGAGAAACCCTGTCTCAAAAAAAACCAAAAAAAAAAAAAAAAAAAATTATGCCAGGCCCTGCCCCAGAGCCTTTGCACACGCGCACAGACACACAGACACACACACAGACACACACGCACGCACACACGCACACTCTGCCTGCAGAACTCTTGTAATCTTTCCCAGCTTTTTCCATAGCCACCCTTCCCGACAACCTGATTTAAGGACACTGCCTACCTGGGCTTTCTGGAACTCCCTAGAACGGCCTAAGTATCTTTCCCCCCTGGACTCAAGCGTCATGAGAGCAGGGACCTCACAGGCCAGAGATGACAGCTGTTCTTCACTGTGCTGTGACCCCGAGCCAGACTGTGCCAGGCAGGGGACAGTGGACGGTCAAGGACACGAAAGGTTCCCACTGTCCGCAGAGGCACGTGTGGAGGTGCTGCCTCCTGAGGTGGTGTGCTGGGGTGGAAGGGAAGGGGACTAAGGCTCAGTGTGGTACGGACCCGGGTTTTTATCTCACTTTGCCTCCTGTGCAGGGATGGGGGTAAGGTCACCTCAGCACAGTGAGCTGGCAGCTGGGAGCCTGGCATTGGCCGGTGCCTGTGACCGAGCTGGGCTTGGCCAGAGCTGGTGTTACCTGCTGCTCCTGCCAGCAGAGGTCCAGATCAGACCAGAGGAAACCTGGGGAGTGTTTGTACACTCATGTATGCTGTGTGTGCCCAAATAGGCATGGGTGCATGTGTGTTCATGTATGTATATGCATGTATGGGTATGTATGTATGTATATGACTGTGTCTGTACACATGTAGCTCTGTGTGAGGGTCTGTGTACCTGTGTACATATACATGAATATGAGTGCCTGTGAGCTTGTGTGAATGTATGTGTATGAGTGTGTATGTCTGTATACATGTGTGCATATGCATGCTTATGAGTGAGTGTGTATATGTGTGAGTGTGCATGCATGTGAATGCGTGTGTGTAACAGGAGCCTCTGGGGATAGGTGTGATGCAGGGTCATGGATGGTCTCAATAACTGTTGTGCATCTCATCTTCCTGGCTGGGTCTCATGTTGCTCTCATCTGTGAGGAACACAGTCACACTCGGCGTGTCAGAGTGGGCCACAGGCCCTGCCTGGCCCCAGAGTGAGTGGCTTCCTAGACTGGGGTGGCCCTTCCTGACAGCCCGGGTGCTGGTGTGTCAACATGGGGAGGGGCCCAGATGTCAGGATGAGCACCTGAACCCACGTTAAACACTGCTCACTTTTCTCCTCACCCAGCTTCTCTATGACCCTATGTGTCTGGTGACCTGCCCCCTTTCTCCATTAGCACTCCAACCCATAGAACCACGTGACCTGCTCCAGGACCCAGGTACAGTTAGGAGATGTTGGGGATGGCTGGGCTAGAAGGGTCACTTAGCACCCAGAGTGAGGGAGACAGGGGAACCTGATCAGCACTGGCAAAGAGCAGCTGACGGGTGGGGACAGTGGGCGACAGTCCTCCACAGCAAGGGCCCCAGCAAACAGCATCAATGGTCCGGAGGGGATAACAGTGACCTGGGAAGGGTCCGCCCTGTGGCCTGTCCCTTGAGACAAGCACTTGGTAGTACCCCTTGTCCGCTGTCCCTGCCAGCAAGCGCAAGCCCGGTTGGAACCAGCTTCATTCCAGAGTCAACAGCGCCCCCTGCTGGATACTGTGAGCCTGTGCACTCAAGGCCTTCTTTAAAAAGCTCGGGGCTTTGGACAGCCCCCCAACCCCTCCAGGGTGTCTTGCTACCATCCTACCTCACCTACACTGTTATCTCCTCCAGGAAGTCCTTCTGCCCTATCCCCGTGAGGGTGGCACTCCTGCCCTGAGCCATGCGCTTACCAAGACCTGACCAGTAACTAGCTTGTCACCAAGCCCTAGACCTATCAGCCTGAAGGTCATTTGGAATCCACTTCAGTCACTGTCCTAAATCATGACCAAGCCTTGTTTGTGAGTCAAGGTCTCCTGTAGCCCAGGATAGCCTCACACCCACTGTATATGCTGGCTAGTTTTATGTCAACTTGACGTAAGCTACTGTTACCTGAAAGGAAGAAACCTCAATTGAGAAAATGCCTCCATAAGATCAACCTGTAAGGCATTTTCTTTTTTTTTTTTTTTTTTTTTTTTTTTTTTTTTGGTTTTTCGAGACAGGGTTTCTCTGTGTAGCTTTGCGCCTTTCCTGGAACTCGCTTTGGAGACCAGGCTGGCCTCGAACTCACAGAGATCCGCCTGGCTCTGCCTCCCGAGTGCTGGGATTAAAGGCGTGCGCCACCACCGCCCGGCTATAAGGCATTTTCTTAATTAGTGACTGATGGGGGGGCAGTTCATTGTGGGTGATGCCATCCCCGGGCTGGTGGTCCTGGGTTCTATAAGAAAGCAGACCGAGGAAGCCATGAGGAGCAAGCCAGTAAGCAGCACCCCTCCATGGCCTCCTTATCAGCTTCTGCCTCCAGGTTCCTGCCCTGCTTGAGTTCCTGTCCTGACTTCCCTGAGCCTCTGTGGACTGAAGTGGTGGACTGAAGTGTAAGTAAAATAAACCCTTTCCTCCCCGGGTTGCTTCTGGTCATGGTGTTTCATCACATCCGTAGTAACCCTAACTGAGACAGGCGCTAAGGGGAGGTACATTTACCCTGACGGGTTGTTGCCGGGGCTGCTAGTGGGTTCTCTTGCTGATCCTTCTGCCTGACTTGCTTGGTGCTTGGGGGTGGGGGTGTGATCTTACACTCAGGAGAGAAGGGAGTCTGCTTTTGCCGCCCTCTGCTGCTGGCTTGTGAGTTGGGCCCATTATCTCTTCCTGTTGAGTGACTGGGGGGCGGGTATCATAAAATGTCCCACTGCTAACTGTCTCTGAAGCAGTCTCAAGGTGCCTGGCCAGCCTCCCCACCCATCCCTCCCCCACCCACCCACCCACCCCGCTCCGCCCTGCATCTCTGTAGGTTGCTATTTACGTAGTGGAGGGCTGTGCCCAGTGGGGAGGACAGGGAGAGCGAAGAAGTCAGGAAGAGGGAGTCTGTGCCATCTTGTCTCGATTGAGGGAATCTGTTTAATTGTGTGGTCAGGTGGAGCTGAAGTTTTCCTGTGTCCCGCCTGACCCATGGTCAAGCTTGGGTTTGACCACATGAAAGAGACCAGCACAGGGTCCTGATGTTATTTCCAGTGCAAAGTGGAGGGAGCTTCCTCTACTGAACCCACAAGACACAGTCTGGCCTCCAGGGCCAGTGAGTCCTCTGAGTTTGGACAAATCTTTGTGCCCTGAGTGGGCCACAGAGTCTGGATTCTCCTGGAGCTGGGCAGCATTGGCTCTTTCATGGCCCTGCCAGCGAGAATCAACTGGACCATGAGAGGGACTGGCCAAGGCAAGGGGTACAAGCGCTCCATCTAAGGAGTGGGGAACAGAGGGTGCTGGAGAAATTCTAGCAGAGACCCCTAGAAAACAGACCTCATGGGAGGGGGTGCTGATTTCCAGGGGTGATGGAAGTTGCCAGTCTCCTGGATCCCCAAGATGCCACTTCCTTTCTCTGTACTCCAGCCAGACAGCCCCCACTGCCCAGTCGCTAGGCCTCAGGGACTCAGGAGATGGAGAGGGGTTTGACCTGAGGCGCTTCTTCAGGGAGTCTGCTAGATGCCTGTCAGGGCTCAGCTGAGGACCTGCTCAGCCCTGTGAAAACACTTCATTTGGTTTTCCAAGACAGGGTTTCTCTGTGTAGCTCTGGCTGTCCTGGAACTCATTCTGTAGACCAGGCTGGCCTAGAACTCAGAGATCTGCCTGCCTCTGCCTCCTGAGTACTGGTTAAAGGCATGTGCCACCACCACCCGGCAAGGGATGTGGCTTTCTTGGTAGAGTGTTTGCTTAGTATGCACAAAGTCCATTGTTCAGTCCCCTAATACCTTATAATTCAGGTGCAGCGGTGCATGCCTGTAGTGTGAATTCTAATTGGTCTTAATAATAAAAATCTGGAGCCAGATACCAGGGTGAAAGCTGAAAGATCAGAGAAGCAGAGCGGCAGTCATAGAAAGACTTCTTACCTCTAGGAATCCTCCGACTGAATGCAATGAGCTCCTGTCTCCTCCCGCCTTATATTCCTCTCTCCATCCAGTCATATCACTTCCTGTCTCCACCTCCCAAGTGCTGGAATCAAAGGTGTGAGCCACCACTGCCTGGCCTCTATGGCCTCTAGTGGCTAACTCTGCATTCTGATCTTCAGGCAAGCTTTACTTGTTAGATCACAAACAAAATATTACCACACATGGAGGCAGGAGGATCAGAAGTTCAAGATCATCCTCAGCTACATAGTAAGTTTGAGACTAGCCTGGGTTGCATAAGACCCTGTCTCAAAAAGCAACACAATTCAAGCCTTAAAGCTCACGTCTGCTTCCACTTCCCCTGTCAGCACAGGAAGTGTCTATTTGTTATTTTTACGTGTATGGGTGTTTCACCTGCATGTATGTCTGTGCACCTTGGGTGTGCAGTGCCTATGAAGTCCAGTTGGGGCCATCAGATCCCTTGGAACTGGAGTTACAGACAGTTGTGAGCCACTATGTGGGTGCTAAGAATTGAACCCGGGTCCTCTGTACAAGCAACTGTTTATAACTACTGAGCCGTCTCTCCAGCCCCATGGGTTTTCTATGTCCCTGTGCAAGCCGGAAGGTGGGTTAGGGGCAGGCAGTTTAGTCAGCCCCTGCTTTGGCCTGTTATGGATCTAAGGCTGCTCTGCTCAGCCTTTGGGGACTCAGGGGGTCTGGGGTAGCAGGCTGTAAGAACCCTTCTGGGCCTCCTATACTGCAGACCTGGAGTGTTCCTGGCACCAGTGCCTACGATGCACCTCTCTATCACTGGCACCTGGCCCAGGGAGGGTGCTGCCCCTGTCACAGGGTGGGAAACTGAGGCTCAGAGGGACCTGGGACAAAATGGGGGATGGAGCCAGACCCAGTCAGACCCCAGCTATGGCAAGATGAACTCCCTCACCTGTGGAGGTACAGTCCTGCCCTGCCCTGCCCTGCCCTGTCCTGGCCTGTTCCCTCTTCTCCCCATCTCTCCTGTCGGGGCCTGCCGTCAGCAGTTCCACCTTGCTGGAGCCTGTCTCTTGTCCCCCGGTCCCTCCTGTGGACGCATGTCTGTGGTCATCTGTGGGCAGAGACCCAGGTTTTAGGTCCTTTGCATGCCCCCCAGCTCCACTTCTCCATCCCTAACCTATACTTGGGCCCCAGGGCTGCCTCCTTGTCCAGGTGCTCGGTGTCTCTGGAAGCCTGCAATCTGAGGGCTGAGTCACCAGCAGCTGAGCCGTGCTGACATGGGTGCTTTGCTGACGTGAGCTCCGTCCTGCACCTGTGGTCAGGAGCTCACGATGCTCTTTCCAGGAGGTCTGGATGGTAAACACATCCCAAGACACACAGTCCAGGCCAGGAAGTGTCCGTCCTCCATGTCCTCACGCTGCCCAGCCAGAACTCCCAGCCGCAGGAGGGACTTTCTCGGTTCCTGGTGATAAAAGCCGACTGGAGTTCAGCCCTGGCCCTGCATGAACTGAGGTGGGAAATCAAGAAGAGGCCTCCATGAGGCAGGAAGATCCCCGCCTCTGGCTGGCACCCTTGAGCTTTGTGGCCTGGGGCAGTGGCCTGAGCCCTCCCTTGCTGACATTTTACGTGTCCAGGGAGACTAAGGGATTGCTTCCCTCCCTCAAGTGCACATGTAGAGGTCAGAGGGACAACCTGCAGGGGTCGATTCTCACCTTTTACCATGTGAGTTCGGGGCAGAGGGGGGTGTGTGGTTATGTCATCAGGTTTGGAGGCAAACACCTTTACCTGCAGAACCGTCTCACCACCCAGCGAGTGGCATGGCACCCAAATGCCAGCTCCTGTAAGAAGAGCCGCTGCCAACCACAGCCGTCTCCTTTTCCATTCACAGGGTCATCCATCCTCAGGTCACCAATGATGCGGTCCTCACATACAATTAAAAAATTCGGAACGCCCCAAGAGCCTGCAGGATGTGGTCCTGGATAGCGCTTTGCCACCCTCAGTGCTCGGGAGAGCAGAGAAGGAATCACATTCCTTTCCCTGTGTCTGGCTTCCCGACCCTTCTTCCCGCCTGCTCTGCACCTGCCAGAAACCCTTCCAACGACCAGCCACAGGGGGAGCGTTCACCCTGGACCAACTGGAGCTTCTTCTTTTTTTTTTTTTTTTTTTTAAGATTTTTATTTATTATGTACACAGTGTTCTGCCTGCATGTACGCCTACATGCCAGAAGAGGGCACCAGATCTCATTACAGATGGTTGTGAGCCACCATGTGGTTGCTGGGAATTGAACTCAGGACCTCGGAAAGAAGAGCCAGTGCTCTTAACCTGTGAGCCATCTCTCCAGCCCTGGAGCTACTTCTTAAGTATATCTATCCTCTGTAGTAAGCTTGAACTTCTCATAGAACACTATTTTAGCTATTATTTAGAATTTCAGCCCCCCCCCCATGAAATTTGTTACGTTCATAATAAGTTCAATTAACCAGCATATTCTTGTGTTCACTGTCTTTTCATGTGGCCTTCTCTTTCTCTAGGAGTTCACTTTTCTCCTGCCAGGGCTCACACTTTAGTGACTCCTCTCTCTCTCTCTCTCTCTCTCTCTCTCTCTCTCTCTCTCTCTCTCTCTCGTTTGTTTGCTTTGTTTTGTTTTTTCTCATGATGGGTTTCTCTGTGTAGCCCTGGCTGTCCTGGAACTCGCTCTGTAGACCAGGCTGGTCTCGAACTCACAGAGACCCACCTGCCTCTGCTTCCCGAGTGCTGGGATTAAAGGTGTGCACCACCACTGCCTGGCTTGGTAACTCTTTTCTTTCACTGTCTTTTCTCATGGCCTTCTCTTTCTCTAGGAGTTCACTTTAATCCTGCTGGAACTCACACTTTGGTGACTCTTTCAGGGATGGGTTGTAGGCAAGGAACTCTTTCTCGGGATTTTTCTGTCTGCACACATCCACTCATCCACATTTTTTTCACTTTTATCTGCATTTATTTTATGCGGAATTTATTCCTGTGCCATAAGTTTTTGTTTCTCCAGTTTCTTCTGGGATATCTTCTTCTTCTGCACAACCTCCTCTTCTGGCTTTGGAACAATTTGTTCCTTTTCAGTGAGGATCATCTCGATGTGGGGGGGAGCTCATGTATGGGTTAATCAGGCCATGAGCTCTGTAAGTCCGTCGGCGCATCTTAGGTGCTTTGAATGTAGAGAATCCACATCCAAACCCTTAAGTTCAGCATCACTCTCTGCATTCTTTTTTTTTTTTTTTTTTTTTTTGGTTTTTCGAGACAGGGTTTCTCTGTTTCTCTCTGTAGCTTTGCGCCTTTCCTGGGACTCGCTTGGTAGCCCAGGCTGGCCTTGAACTCACAGAGATCCGCCTGGCTCTGCCTCCCGAGTGCTGGGATTAAAGGTGTGCGCCACCACCGCCCGGCCACTCTCTGCATTCTTAAGCATGGGCAGCAAAAATTCAGCACTCTTTTTAGGCCACCGGCCTGTGTCCAGCCCCACTGTTTGGCCTGGGCACACCTACCGACTCCACCATTATACCGCTGGAAAGGCACACATTGCTTCTTTAAAGTGACATCTTTCAGATATTTGGTGACTTTTCGGATATGCATACCCTTGATGGCCTGGGCAGTTTCACGGGTGTTCTTAAAGTGAACCCAAAGATTTGAACCTCTCGATTTGCATGATTTCGTAGGGTTTTCTGGGTCAAGCGAGTAGCGAACCATCTTCACAGGTCACCTTAGGACGCTTACAGGAAGAGGAAGTGCTAGGGCTACTGGATCCACATTTTTTCAAGTGATAGTTTAGCTGGGTATAGGATCCTAGGCTACTGCCTGTGTTCCCTTAGCCTTCACAGTGCTGTTCTAAGCTCCAGTAAATCTGCAGATCTATCATTTCTTGCTGTGATGAAACAGGATGACCAAAAGCAAACTGGTGAAGAAAGGGTTTGTTTGGCTCATGCTTCCACATCAGAGTCCATCACTGAAGGAAATCAGGACAGGAACTCAAATAGGGCAGGAACCTGGAGGCAGGGGCTTCTGCAGAGGCCATGGAGCAGTGCCGTGTAGATGAATTTCTAAATGGTTTTATTAAATAAAAAACATGGAGCCAAATATAGGGGTGAAAGCCTTAGAGAGATCAGGGAAATAGGGAAAGCCACCAGCCAACCTCACCTCACCAACTCTGCAGCTTCCAAATGCGAATTGGAACATCTATATGCCTTGCTGTTCTATCATCTAATTTGCTCTCTCCGTTCAGCTACATCACTTCCTCTTCCTGCCCAGCTCTGTCACTTCCTATCGGTACAGACCTCCAGACCCCCATGGTTAACTAGTTTTGGAATTTAAGGCATGTGCCACCACACCTGGCTCTGTTTTCAGTGTGGCCTTGAACACAGGGAAATTCTGCCTGCCAAAGGATAGGATTAAGGGCATGTGCTACCGCTGCCTGACTTCTTTGTTTACTTATAATGGCTGTTCCTATTCCTCTGATCTCCAGGCAAGCTTTATTTATTAAAGCACAAATAAAACATCACCACAGTGCTGCTTTCTGGCTTGCTCCTCATGGCTTTCTCAGCTCATCTTCTTATAGAACTCAGGACCACCAACCCAGGGTGTCCCCACCCACTATGGGCTGGGCCCTCCCCCATCAATCATTAATTAAGAACATACCCTACAGGCTTGCCTACTGCCTGATCTTATGGAGTCATTTTCTCAGTTGAGGCTCCCTCCTCTCAGATGACTTTAGTTTGTGTCAAGTTGACATAAAACTATCCAGCACAGTAACCATTTATTAATTTACACATTGATTGATTGATTGATTGTCTCTGGTCAGTTTTCAGAGTTGTCTCTTTATCCTCAGATGCATCACAGTTTTGTTGAAATATCTAGACACGAGTGGGCATTCTTTTACCCCAGGTGGCATACCGCATCTCCTTTTAGTTGCTGGGAAATGTCAGCTTCCCTCTTTAGGAGCCGATGTTGTATATGAGCATTTCCTTCTATTCTCTCTGAGTCTCGGTCCATCCTGTGATTTTTTTGCCCTCATTTCTGACTTGGATTTGTTGGGTGTGCTCAGCTCTGTCCACACTCTTGGTCACTTCCCCGGGCTAGCTTACCACCCTCTTCAGAGTGTCCCGCCAAGTAAAGTTCCATCTGCCGACTTTTACATTTTCAGAATCACACTGAAGACATGTGGGATTTCCAGTGGGTTCCTCTCCATGACCACCGTTTTTATTTCACTTAAGCCAATCAGGGTTTCAACAATTTATTATGGTCTTTGATGATGCCAAACATTTTTATTTGCATATCTTCAGATTTTTCTATTCTTTCCATCGCATCTGGAGTGGTTTAATGACCACATGGTCCAGTTTCTCCAACTGCCCTTAGGGCTAGTTTTGCCCATGGATTTGGGAGCAGGATTGTGCCCCCCCCCCAATACTCCACTGCAGTCACATGACTTGTCTCTTCCAGTGGCCTCGCTCCAGGATGATGAGGTCATTTGAGGTTGCTCAGAATGCCCGCTCACTGAGGGAGATACGGGTATCAGGCTGTCAAGTCCCCTGGGTTGGCTCTGAAATTCTGGCTCTGCATCTACCCTGGGGACTCTACCCCAGCCTGTGCACAGAGCTTGGCTATAGCCCCTGCCTCATTCTTTTTTACTTTTATGATTTCATTCTTCAGCTGACACATCAGAAAAGATGATCTCTTGTCCACACATTACTCTTAGGCCACAGCCATGAGCAGAACCTGCCCAGCATGGCACAGGCCCAGGGCAAATGACCAAAAAGGATAGTTTTTGGTTATGGGTAACATAGGCCTCTCTGGTGGGCTTGATGCAGAAAGAAGTTCTAGACCATCAAGAGACAAATTCTGTGATTTAATTTTTTTTGATTTTTTTTTTTTGTGGTGGGGGTGTGTGTTTTGCCTGCATGTATGTCTATACTCCACATGTGTGTATATACTCCATGGAGGTCAGGAGAGGACATCAGCTCCCTCTAGAACTAGAGTCACTGTGTAAGCTGCCCTGTGGGTGCTGGGTCCTCTACTAGAGTAGTCAGTACACTTAACCTTTGAGCCATTTTTCCAGCCCCTTAATTGATTCGTTTTGTGCCTCTATGTGTGTGTGCGTCTGTATTCGAATGCATGTGGAGGCCAGAGCACAACCCAGGCTGCGTTCCTCAGTTGTTATCTATCTTATTCTGGGACAGGGCCTCCCACTGGCCTGGAACATACCAGTTAGGCTAAGAAGCAAACCCCAGGCAGCCTGACCGCCTCCCAGCACTATGATTGCAAGTGCACAGCTCTGCTTGGCTTTTTAATGTGGGTTCTAGATATCAAACCCAGGCCCTTGTGCTTACAAAGCAAGCTCTTTACCAGCTGAACCCTTGTCCCCGGCCCTGCTTCTGTGTGAAGCATGGTCTCACTGTGTAGTCCAGCCTGGCCTGAACTCAGTATATAGCCCAGGCTGTAGCAAGCCTGCTGCCTCTACTTCCTGAATGCTGGGCCAGTAGGTATGCACCACCATACATGACTTGAGAGACAAATTCTAGCCTGCAGCTTTAACGATCATTCCTGTGTTCCAGCCAGCATCCCCGATCTCTGCTCCTGCAGCCTCTGTGGGTTCACAGCTGGTTTTCCTGGACCTCTGCCCTGGATCTTTCATGCCTTCAGCCTATGGACGACCTTCTCTGCTCAGAGTGTGGTTCAAAGACGGTGGCAGGAAGGCCAAGCACCCATGCCTCATTCTGAGTCTGTTGCATGGAGATGGCCAGCGCTTACTTTTTATTAAGGCTGCGTCTTTTGGAGGGGATGGGGACGTATCTTGCTATATAGCCTTGGCTGGTCTAGAACTCACTCTGTAGACCAGGTTGGCCTTGAACTCACAGAAACCCGTCTGCTCTGCCTCCTGAGTGCTGGGATTAAAGGCACGTGCCACCATGCCCAGCCCTGAGGTCACATCTTAACATTCTCTCCTTAAAGTTTCTCTGGCTCTGTTATAAGGAATGACCTGAAATATGGACTTTGAAATATCATCTTCTTTAATTCATTGGCTTTTTCCCCTTTTATTATAAGTTCATTAAAAATAGAAAATCAGCACAAGTTTCCAGAGCCCTGGAATGTGAGGAGTTTGGAGGTTAATTTTAAAAAATGAAACCCCATCACACTGACCCAGCTCTGAAACTAGCTGCCTGACTTCTTCTGGCCGGCTGTGCACAGGCGACCAGTCATAAATTACTATTCCCGCTTAAAAGCCAGCAGCAAGGAAACTTCCTTGCGAGATGAACTGTGTTGTTTTTCTTTTGTGGGGAGCTTCTTTGTTAATTGAAGTTAATGGTTAATTGTTGAGAAAACATTTTATCAAATTATAACATTAATACAGAAAAATGCACAAGCTGTAAGTCTTCAATGTGACCAGCGTTCACACGTGGACCACCCTCACATGGCCTCCTCCAGATCACGGGTGGGTGTGGGGGACGTTAGCTTTGTCCTACAGCTAAGGAAATAAGGTTCGAGGAGGTGAAGTGAGGTTCTCCCGGGAGGAGGCATCAGGGAGGGGGGCAGGGCCAGTCTCTGGGGCTGCTCAGTGGAGAAAGGCTGAATGGTGGAAGGTGCTAGCTGGGAACAGAGAAAGGAGTAATTGGTGTTTAAGTAGTCTGGGCCCAAGAGGAAGGAGCAGGAAGGAGGGGCCATATGGAGGGGCAGGCTGAGAGCCTGCAGCCCTGGTGCTGGCCTGACTGCAGTATGGGGACAGATGGACAGATGACGTGTTACTTCCCCAGGCCTTGGGCCTTTAAAAAATAAAACAAGGCCTAAAGCATCCTGATGGACAGGAAGGATCTCAGTATGTTGCTCATTGCTGGCTTTCAAAACTAACTTCAAGCCATCCTCCTGCCTCAGCTTCCTGAGTAGCCAGGACAACTCAAGCAGAGTACATTTCCACTTTGTCAGAAATACTCGTTGTATCTTTGTAACTGGTAGAACCAAGGTACTCACAAGTGCTAGGCCAGTGCCCTACACGGATCTATATCCTCAGCCCTCCAAAAACATTAACAAACACATACCATATCACCACCTATCTATCTATCTATCTATCTATCTATCCATCCATCCATCCATCCATCCATCCATCCATGAATGACAGGGTCTCCTGTAACCCAGACTATCCTCAAACTCTCTATGAGGACCAGAATGGTCTTGACTCCTGATCCTCCTGCCTCTGCTTCTGGAGTGTGGAGATACAGGTGTGCACTACTACACCCATGCTATCATTTTCTTGTGTGGGTTTTTTTGGGCTTTTTGGGTTTTTTGAGACAGGGTTTCTATGTGTAGTTCTGGCTGTCCTGGAACTCACTCTGTAGACCAGGCTGGCCTCGAACTCACAGAGATCCGCCTGCCTCTGCCTCCTGAGTGCTGGGATTAAAGGCGTGCGCCACCACCGCCCAGCAGTTTTGTATTTTTTTTAAAAGATTTAGCTATTTATTATATATACATATTGTGCCTGCATGTATACCTGCAGGCCAGGAGAGGACGCCAGATCTCATTACAGATGGTTGAGAGCCACCATGTGGTTGCTAGGAATTGAACTCAGGACCTCTGGAAGAACAGTCAGTGCTCTTAACCACTGAGCCATCTCTCCAGCCCCCAGTTTTGTATTTTTTAAGGACAGTCTCATGCACATGCAAAAGCAATCAAGTATGTGTGCATGCCCACACACACACACACACACACACAGAGGGAAGAGGGAGAGAGAGAGAGAGAGAGAGAGAGAGAATAAAGACCCATCTTAAGACCATCTTCAGTTTTACAGAAACAAAACAAACCCCGCGTCTGCACAGTCCTTACCTCATTTTATCTCGTTTGCCTTGGGTAGGCCAGAACTTGTCACTCAAGGCCCGGTCCTCGGCGCGGTGCTGGGGGATGATGACCAAGGAGCTGAGGTCCAGGATCCCTTTCTAGGACTGGTCACCCAGGTCTAGGGATGCTGGCCCCGTGAGGTTTCCAGGGTTATCAAACGAAAACACATCCTGCTTAGTAAAGCTTGAACTGCAAGCTAAACTTATTTACATGTACACATGCATGTATGTATATGCACACATTTACACAATGAAGTGTTGCTTGCCAGAAGGTCCGGTCTAGCAGGGCGTGCTGGGTTGGATCCCAAAGCCCCTCCAGGGAAACTTGCAGAGTTGCTGAGGATGGCCCAGAGTGGGCCAGAGATCCAGAGCTATTGCTTGAGGGCCGTGGCTCAGCAGACCCTTGTCACAAGTGCAGTGACCCTCAGCCACCTGCAGCTGTGGCCCGAGGGCAGCAAGCCTGTTTCCCAGCCTCCCTCCTTGCTGCCTGGCAAGTCCTTTATTTATTCATGTTTTAATGAAAACAAATTAGGGTTTTCTCACTCTCTGGAGGTGATTGCTCTTGTGGTAAGAGGAGACACCTGACTCCTCTCGTCAGGCTCAGCCCCAGCGGAGAGGCCTGAGTGGGCCCGTCAGGCTCAGCCCCAGCGGAGAGGCCTGAGTGGGCCCATCAGGCTCAGCCCCAGCGGAGAGGCCTGAGTGGGCCTGGTTTCCAGGAGGCTGGCTCCCACCATCAACTCTTTGTTATCTGTCTGTGCACTGAGAGAGGCTGAAGGCGCCCGGGATGCCGACCAGGGAGAGAGCCACCAAACAATTCATGTGTTATCCCAGGCACCACAACTCTGAGGTAAGTCTAGCTACCCCAGGATGGTGAGGGATCATGTCAAAGGTTGATTCAGGGTAGAACTGTGATTTGACCAAAGACTCATCAGACCGGGGCTCTACCCAAGGAATGTTCCAAGTCTCAACCAAGAGAAGCTCTGGTTAACCTGAATAGAGTGTTTTGTTTTCCGAGACAGGGTCACACTGTGTAGCCCTGGCTGTCCTGAAACTCACTGTGTAGACCAGGCTGGCCGGAAACTCACTGTGTGGACCAGGCTGGCCATGAACTCACTGGCCTGCCCCTGCCTCCTGAGGGCTGGGATTAAAGGCGTGCGCCACCATGCTTGAACCACCGTGCTTGACAGGTTTTTGTTTTATAAAGCTCACTAGGAGACACCACTGAACAGGCCACACTACCTCTCCCTTCCTCTGGCTGCTCAAGAGTCAGGCCTGAACGACCTAGAGCGCTGAGATGAAGTGTGGTAGAGCTCTGGTCAGTCTCTGGATGTAAGGTGACCATCACCATCCTTTTCAATCGCAGTAGTTGTCGTAATCATCCCAGACCTTCACAGGGTGGAACCTAGACTAATTCCCTTATAGCAGTGAGGGGCTTTTATCCCAGTCACTCATTCCCTCTGTCCCCCTCCCTCCATCTGCAGGGAATCCTGCCCAGCTGATTGTTACCCTGAGGATGCTGGAATAGAGAGGAAGGGGAAGGTTGGCAGGGGTGGGAACCCTTGGGATGCTTTCATGAGTTGTCACTCATGCTGGGGTGGGTGGGGCTTTGGGGTGATACACCTCCTGGAAAACGACCCAGAAAGAATGGGAGAAAGGGGACTGGAGAGATGGCTCAGTGGTTAAAAGCACTGGCTGTTCTTCCAGAGGACCCCGGTTCAATTCCCAGTACCCACATGGCAGCTCGTGTAACTCCAGTTCTAGGGGATCTGATACCTTCACATCAATGCACATAAAATAAAGAAAAAATAAAAAAGAAAAAGAATGGGAGAAAGACTGGGCAGCACTCGGGAGGCAGATCTCTGAGTTCGAGGCTAGCCTGGTCTACAGAGTGAGTTCCATCCAGGACAGCCAGGGATATGCAGAGAAACTGTCTTGAAAAAACAAAAACAAAAACAAAAAAAGGTTGTGGGGGCCCGGGGAGCTGGGGAGCTGGGGAGCTGGGGAGCTGGGGAGCTGGGGAGCTGGGGAGCTGGGGAGCTGGGGAGCTGGGGAGCTGGGGAGCTGGGGAGCTGGGGAGCTGGGGAGCTGGGGAGCTGGGGAGCTGGGGAGCTGGGGAGCTGGGGAGCTGGGGAGCTGGGGAGCTGGGGAGCTGGGGAGCTGGGGAGCTGGGGAGCTGGGGAGCTGGGGAGCTGGGGAGCTGGCTCAGTCAGTAGACTGACCCTAGCTATGGTAGCAAGGGTCAAGCACTCCTGGAAAAAGCTGGGTGTGGCTGGGTGTGCCTGTCACCCTAGAGCTGGAGAAGCCGTGACAGGAGGATCCTTAGCTTATCTCACACCAGGCTGGAGAGAGAGCCTGACTCAGGTGAGAAGGTGGGGGCTGTTGATGCGGTTCAGCGGGTAAAGGACCCACAGGGTGGGAGAAGAAAGCTGACTCTCTCTTCCACACTGGTGCCAGGAAGTGTGTACACGGGGCTGCTCTGGCCTGCTTGACTCAGCCTCTTTGCTGCTGACTCCGCTCTGACTCTGGCTGTTGCAGGGTCAGATGATGATTGAGGCCTTGCTGAAGTGTGAAATTTACCGTAACAGTGTACACAGACACTCCAGGAGGCTCTGTGGGTGTGTCTCCTGACACCACCTTCCTGGAAGGCACTCTGAAAAAATAGCAAGAGCTTTAAAACACTCATATGTTTTTGTCTCAGTAATTAAGTTTTTTTTCCAATTGCTGATCTGAAATTTATTTCTTGAATATTTCCATGTATTACTTTACATGGGCCCTGGGGATGGCTCCTGCTATGGTAAGAAAGACGGACAGTGATCAGTTGTATAAGACTAGATGAGTGGTGGGGGTGGGTGGGGAGTGTTAAGAATGTGCAGAAGGGCCGGTTGGTAGTGGCACAGGCCTTTAATCCCAGCACTCAGGAGGCAGAGGCAGGCGGGTCTCTGTGAGTTCGAGGCCAGCCTCGTCTACAGAGTGAGATCCAGGACAGGGTCCAAAATATACACAGAGAAACCCTGTCTCGAGAAAAACAAACAACAAAAAGAATATGCAGAAGGGTGTGCACAGACAGAACTAATCCAGAGGCCCCAGCCTGCCCCCCAGAACAGAGCCCCTCTGAGAGCAGGGGTGAAGCAGAGAGATGAGCAACAGCTGTCAGAAGAGCTGATGCAAAGGGCTTATGGTAGGGGAACAAGGGCCGGGGCAGGGTGGCACTATGTAAGCCTGGCTGGCCTGGAACTCATGGGCTTTTTTTGTATTTGTTTTTAAGGGTTTTTTGAGACAGGGTTTCTTTGGGTAGCCCTGACTGTCCTGAAACTCACTCTATAGAACAGGCTGGCCTTGAACTCACAGAGATCTGCTTGCCTCTGCCTCTTCCCAAATGCTGGGATTCAAGGCATGTGCCACCATGCCCAGCTCCACTCCCCACCTCCTACCAGCCTTCCTGTGCAAGGAACTGGAGGTCACTGGGGAGGCTGGAGCCCAGGAAGATTGAAGAACTGGACTTCTAGCTAACTAAAAATCTTTCATTACATTCAGTTTATAAACTCTGTGTGTGTGTGTGCGTGCGCACACACACCATGGCCACCCAGCAGTACGTGGCTTTTGAGCATGCACACTCCAGTCCTTATGCTTGAGTGGCAAGCATTTTATCCACTAAGCATCTCCCCAGCCCCTTAAATGGAGAACTTCATACTATGTGAATGTCTGGCTGTGATGTCTTTATTGTTGCTTTGCATCTTGTTGAGACAGAGTTTTGCTGTAGCCTAAGATAGCCTTCACCTCATGATCCTCCTGCTTCTGCATCTCAAGTGCTGGGATTACATGTGTGCACTGCCATACCTGGCTTTGACTCCAGAACCCTTTTTTTTTTTTTTAAGGTTTATTTCTTTATTTTGTATACAGTGTTCTGTCTGCATGTATCCCTGCACACCAGAAGAGGGCACCAGATCACATTACAGATGGTTGTGAGCCACCATGTGGTTGCTGGGAATTGAACTCAGGACCTCTGGAAGAGCAGCCAGGGCTCTTAACCTCTGAGCCAGCTCTCCAGCCCATTGACTCCAGAACCTTTTAATCACAGGGCGCCTGGGAGGTTCTATGGGACCTACTTTGGGAGGCTGTACAGAAAGGTGGGGGCCCTGCTCTGGCTCCCTTTGCACTGAATTGAACATCGAGGTCAGGCTGGGTCTGCTCTTCAGTGACTGGTAACAACCTGGACCCGTGTTGCTTCCTTTTTGAGCCTAGGTGTCAAGAAAGAATGATTCCACGTCTCATTCCCACCTACCACCTGGCCATTTTCACCAGCCTTCCCCAGGAAGTTGCCACATGGAAAAACTCCCGCCTCTGTCCCTGGGTTCAAACTAGAGCACAGTGTCCCCTGCCCAGGACACTCAGCCACTTCAAACTGACCCTTAAAATGCGCCGTCCCCAGCCCTCCGTCTGACATCTCTGTGCCTGACCTGCCGCTGTCTGGTCCCTCGCAGCCTTCCCCTCCCAACTCCACCTCTGACTTCAAGATGACCTCTGAACCCAGCATCTCCTTCTGCCCTTCCTAAGCCATTCTATGACATGGTACGAAGTTAGAGTGTGAACTGAGAGTTAATATTAGTAATTAAAATTGGAATAAACAAGCATGTGATTGCCAGTGGCCGCCTATCAAGGGGAATTGGGACTATCTGGCTAATCGGAGCCATTGAAGCCGACCTTGTGAATTTATTCTTATAGTAAATTCCGATGTGTGGGAAGACACAGCATGTCTATGTTCCTGACTTAGCTGCTCACCCTGACTGCATGCAGGTCCCTCCATGAGACCAGGCAAGGGTGGTCATTGGCTGACCAACCCTCAAAGCTGCAGATGGAGAGTCCTCTGACCCATAGCCGAGTCACCTCTGGTCCTGGTCACTTCCTGCCGCCTTTGCCTCTGTCCCTCCTGGGTCCCTTCTCCCAGGAGGAGGATAAGGGGTGAGATGTCACTCCAGGACATGAGAAAGGAGAAGGTCTGCCTTCCATGCTGACACTTGACCAGCACCTCCCTGGAGGGAAGTGGGACCTGAGAGCAACCGCTGGAAACCCCCATGACTCTGGTGCTCATTTTTGGCTTGTTTTTGGTTTTTTGGACAAGGTCTCACTCTGTACTCCAGTCTGGTCTGGAATTCATGCATGGCGATCCTCCTGCCTCAGCCTCCTAAATACTAGGATTACAGGCATGAGTCATCACACTTAGCTTCTCAAGGTGTATGCACGTGTATGTGTGTTTTTGTGTGTGTGGAGGTCAAAGGTCAACATCAATCTCTTACTACCTTATCTTTTTCTATTACATTTAATTTAGTGTGTGTGTGTGTATGTGTGTATGTGTGTCTGTCTGTCTGTCTGTCCCCATGTACACACTTCCTGGCACCAGTGTGGAAGAGAGAGTCAGTTTTCTCCTTCTGCCCTGTGGGTCCTTTACCCACTGAACCGCATCAACAGCCCTCCACCTTCTCACCTGAGTCAGGCTCTCTCCAGCATGGTGGGAGATAAGCTGGCAAGCAGTACCATGGGGGACCATCCCCCAGGGGAGCCACTCAGCGAGCAGGGGAATGTTCTCAAAGGAGTACAGAGGTAGAGGGAGGCTGGAGGGCTCAGATGACAGCATGAGGAGACCAGCTGAGTCTCTGCTACTGGCCAGAGCTCTAGACTTGGGCCTTTCCCAAGCCCGGTGGCTGCCTGGGAGGCTTGGTGGGATCCCTGTCTCCAAGTTCTCACAGCCTGGGGTCCTTCTTAACCAGGAAACCCAGGTGGGGGAACATGCCTCACACTGGTGCCCTGCTGTTTAGATTTTTTCCAGCCACCAGAATTGTTACCACCCTCTCACCCCAATTTTTTTTCCTTATAAAGGACCCAGTTTCAGGTACACAAAATACACCAAGCTAATCAGGTGGTAAGAGATGGTCCATCCCTTGTTGGTGGCTGACTCCCTTGCCAACACGGAAGGCCCAAGTTGCTAGACTGGGATGCCCCACTTAGTAAGGAGCTTGGATTAACTGGCTGAAAACAGAAGCTCTTGGATCTGTAAACTCGGTGGCAGATCCATCTCCTATCGAGCTCAACCTCGGCCAGCTCCTGGCTACACAAAGAAAGTTGGAAATGAACCTGAAGAAGAAACAGCCTTGGGCCCTGACTCCAGACACTGAGGGGTTGCATGCCTGTGGCTTTAAACCCCGACCTGTGGGTAACTACATTTCCTCTGGATGGGAAGTCTCAGGAGTTCATGTTCACACCGAAGCCCACCCAGACTCAAAGGGAAGGGACTTCGACCTCATGGTGGGAGATGTTTCAAGGTTGGAATTATGCTCTCATGAAAACCTTATTCCCATCATGAGGGGCAAAAGGAGTCCAGGCCAGAGGTGGTCCCAGAATGGGACAGCCTCCCCTAGGCCTGCCTAGGGGTGACTCTCACCCTCAGCTCCAGGCCTGAGTCACTTTTCCCTCTGCACCTGAGCACTGAACTAGCAACCGCCAGGTCCTGAGCAGTCCGGGGTGAAAGGCTCTT